TGGTTTTCAGAGAACCAGAGCAGTGTTGTTTGGAAAGGGGGTGGGGAGGTTTCTTGTCCAGCCTCCCACTTGGAGCACAGTTATCACTAACATGAGGTCAGAGTGGCTGGCTCTGTCTTCCCTGACTTTGTGGAGAGCAGCAATGTATGACCATGCTATTCCCCAGACTGTGCACAGACATAGTCAAGCTCAGTGCAGAAACAGTTTGGCATTCCCAAAGAGCCTATTCTAAAGGTTCAATTGTATTAAACACTCAGACTATACAGACAGGTCTAAGCACACACCTAGATCAGTAAGATCACTTCTTCCTTCTTTTTTGGTCTCTATTGTCTTAGTCCACATAAGCATGAATGGATATTAGTCACAAACATGAATATTTTTAAGTGAGAAAGGGAGCCACATTGAGTCTCATACAACTGGCTGCTACACCTGTCTCTAAATTACATGTAGAGACCTTTCTTGCTGCTCAGAGCATTAGGTATTCAACTACTTATCGATTCAAAATAGGAATTATCATGAAAGAAACACATCAAATCAAAAGTCGTAAGTAAAAATCTGTGATGCCCAAGCACAGCATTTTGCTGAGCCTCTAGCTCTCTAGGAAGGTGTATCATGCCTCACAGCCAGCCTGCAGCCCAGGACCTGCACACCACCACAATGAAGCAATTCCTGCTTATTGGGACATCTCTGGCTTACTGAGGTCCATTTGGCTATGTGTGCTCTTTAAAAATCAACATCACCAAAACAGGGAACATAAACGAAGGAGGTCAGAATCACCTGCAAGTACTTTACCAATGCAAGACCTTTACTACCATTCACTTCAAACAGCAAAAAACCATGAGTAACAATAATTTAGCTAGGAAAGTAGGCAAACCCCCACCTCCCTCCACCCCAGATATATCTGCAAACTGCATCACAAGATTAACAATTAAGATGTGCAGTCATGACCACACCAAGCCAAGACTGCAGGAGCAGGGCATGGTGCTACCCATGGGTGCCCCTGAATCGAGTGGCCACAGAGGAGACAGCTGCCTGAGCCATGCAATCACCTCCCTAATCAGAACACACCCAGAGGTCACCTCTGCCATGAAGAGCTGTCCAAGGCTCTTGTCATCCATTCAAAAAAGCCTTTTTTCCTCATATAAGGCCACTTAGTGCAAAGCAGTCACACTCCTTTAGTTTCAGGAGCATATCCCTTAAGCTACTTCAGGCTTTTCTCCCACAACACAAGCTCCTCCAATTTAAAGAGGGCAAAAGCCACTCAGTGTTGGAGGCTGTGAATGTGCAAGGACCAAACTAGAAGGAATGCAAGAGAAAAGCAATTTCTCAAGCTCCAAAGCCTTGTCTGCATCCATACTTTGAGATCAGTCCCCCATTCTCCATTGGAGGAAGGTGTTCTTAAATGAAGTGGCAGTTTGCTCCCTACTATGGCTGTTCAGCTAAGGCCACAGCTCAGCACAAGGTTGAGCAGAAGCATGGACTGACTACCACCTTGCTACTTCACACACTGCCACCTGGGGAATCCTCCTGGTAAGCTGCCACTGCTACCCGTGGGGCTTTCAAAAGTGATGTCAGGGGCTCTTGGTTGCAACAGAATGATGTTCGACACATTTAGCCCCTTTCAAAAGGCTGCAGTCAGTAACTGGACCTCGTGACACTGATCTTCCACAGGTAAGACTTCCAATTTCTTTTAAAAGGGCCTGCTGGGGTGTCTGTCCCCCACCCCCCAGATTAGAAAGAGCATACTGAGATCTGACCCAGCACAAACTTCTTTCCAGAGGAGGCAAAAGTTCATTAATGGAAGAAAAAGGGAAAAGGAGGAGTTAAAACAGCCATGGGAAGTGTAGGGGGAGAGAAATGAGTGAAAAAATACTGCTCTGGCAAGGTCACCAGAGTGGTGAAGGCCAGCAGTGAAATGCCAAGAGCTCTCCAAGGGCATGAGAACTCAAGGTGAACTGAGGCTTTTACTTACTTCACTTGCTGAGAACAACCTCCTCTCCTCATTGCAGTGTTAATTTCCATCAAAATATGGAAACAACAACTACCTTGTTAAACTAAATTATTAAATTACCTTATTATAAGACAAGCACAGACAGGAGCCATTTCTGTGGACAACTGACTTGTTGCCCCTGTAGCTGTAACTCACTAGGAGGTTGACAGGAGGCTATAAACTGTTATGACCCCTTCCTCCCATTTGCTCTGGCATTTGCTCATCGTGACTGAGAGGCTATTGCTCTTTAACCTGTCTGAGAAACCTTTTTTCCTAACATTACCCCAAGATTCTGTGAATCCCTCTAACATTCATATAAATACCTATTAAGAAATCTACTTGAAAGCACTCATGTTGAAATTAGTCTGCAATTCCTTTGTTTAAACTTTGCTAGTGTTCTGCAAAGACTGTCTGCAGTAGCAGTAGAATTGCTCAAGTACAGCTCCTGAAATGTGAAATTAAAAAACCCCACCAAAACAAGGCAGGGCAAATTGACAGGGCAATGCTGCATGCTTTTTTTCCTGCATAAAATGGAGATTGTTTCTTACACAGTTTTCAATTAATTTTTGCAGCATGGGATGACAGCTCTAATAAATAAAAATATTAATTACAGCAGATGTACTCAGCAAGCTTCTCTGGCCGAACAAATGAGATCAACCTGAAAAAACAGTGTTTGGCTGAACACAAGCATCACTAGTAAAACCACCATACTATGGGTTTTTTTCCTCCTCAAACACCTCCTTCCCCTGGGGGGTATGAATGCATCCAGAAAAATTTATCCCATTACTGAGCATTGTGAACCAGTTCCATGCATGAGATTTTAAGCCACCTAGCCATGGCAATATTGCTAGTCCACAAGAGAAGATTAATCACAAGCTGTGCTGACACCAAGATCCCAAAGACTGCTGAAATCATCTCAGAGACCAAATTCAGCACCTGACATGCTAATAAATATGAAATTATTTAAAGAAGTTTGTTTACATTTCAAGCAAACCAGCAAACATTGTTAAAATTCACTTCATCTAAAAATCACAGAATCAAATGTTCTGTGAAAATAGCTTACAGTTTGACACTAATCAAATTCAGATAAAACTGTATCTAGAATGAGTCTCCTGATTTCTGCAAGTCACTGATAAAAAACCCCCAGCCTATTCAAGTAGTAAACAGAAAACAATTATTACTTAACTTATCGCAAAATATCTTTTTGAAGTTATTTAACAAAAATACACAACTCTGTACTTAAAATACATGTAAAATTACAACAGCTCTTATGCAACCTGTAGCATGATCTGGAACAAATAAAAGCTTTTCATTTGTCTGTGAGCCTGGTTACAGACCTGTAAATAGAAGACTAGTGATAAAGTCTCTGGCTGCCAGCATCCCCAGGGGAGGTCTGCTGAGCTACTCACTTTCATCACAGAAACCTGCACAACACTAGCTCAGAGACAAAAAAAGTCAATTACCAGAGTTCTTCAGAAAACAGGATGCCAAGGTTGCTACAGTGAAAAGCATATATGTAAGAATTTGTACAAAACATGGGCTGACAGATAAATGGTATTTTAGGAATAAGCGTATCAGAGATTTGGATTTTACCCTTCTGAAAATACAAGTGTGGCTACAGAAAGAAGAAACTGCAAACTTCAACAAAACTCTACAAGTAGAACAAGTATTTGTTTTCAGGAAGCAAAAAAAAGAACATCATTCTAAAGCAGATGGACTGTCTGGATCTGTGACTGGAAAGAAAACATATGAAGCAATCAAGAATTAACCAATACTTCTCTCTCTTACATGAATTTAAAATAAAGTTTTCACATTTCCACTGATGTGATTTAGCAGCCAGAAGAGCAGAGGGGGGTGCTGTGAGGAGTTTGATTAGCCCAACAGTAAATGTTCTCAACAAAACTTTATGAATTGGTTATTTTGTTTCCTAAACGTAAGAGGTAGAAAGAATGAACTTCAATACAGGGATAGCAAACTAACTTTTTTTTTTGAGTAAGAGCAACGAAAATACATCATTCTACTTTTCAGAACAAGCCATTCTAATGCAAAGCTGATCACACTAATGTCGTATTTTGTAACAGTCCATGGTGACAAAGCAAATCAACACTTCGGCCTGTTTTGAGTATATCTTATCTGAGGCCTGGGAGGAAAGCAGAAGTTGTTAATAATTAGCTGTGGCCTTCGCTACGAAAATTATATTAATCTTCTAATGTCAGATCTTGAGATAAAGGAATAGCTTCACGGTGGCAGAAGCACAACAAGGTACCAAAAATAGTTGAGCATGTCTTTAGCTATGAATGAGAAGCTTCTTGGTTTAAGTAATAATCACAGAGCACAAACTTGTGATGATCTGGGATGTTTTGAACTTACTTTTGCTTTATTCAGCCCAAATGACAGACAGTGTCAAAAAGTGACATTTAATGAAGGGCAGCTGTGAGTGTAGGAGGAACAGGAGATGTCATCCTCAACATGACAATCTGAAGAACCTTCTCCTTTTAAATACAGGTTAAATAAAAATGACTATCATACTGCATTAACAAAATTCTTACTCAATACACAGCTCTTCTATTTGATGTGAAGCAGACAAACACATCCCCTAAAGAAAAGCTGCAAACAACAGAGCACTTCTCTACTGCTTTAGAATGGATGCACATGCTCCCATTTCTCCTAGACTTTGTAAAAAAACCAAAAAATTACCTGCAGGATCCCTTACAAGAGTGCCTTATCAGGAAAGGCCAGCCTGACCACTTGCTATTTCAGTTCTTCCAGCAACGTCTTATTTGTGTGCAATGAATAATCAGATGCTAGATATGATTAGAGTACAGCACAGTGAATAAACACTACCTACAGCCTGGGGTGGAACAGCAGCACACAGGCCCAACCCATTTTACAGGTGTTTAAATTACATGTTCTTAAAAGCTTAACACTTTGCCTGGATTCTGCATATCAACGTCACTGCTAGCAAAGTTGGAAACAACAACAAAAATCATCAGTATAAAAAAACCCGAACTGCTGTAACAGGCCTCAAAGGGCAAAGAACTTCCACACTCCTCTTTAGTTCAACAGAGATGATGAGTTAAGGTGCTCCAGGATTCTGCATGGCAGACAAGCTGGCAGAGGTGGCTGTTTAACAAGCTCTTAACAGTCTAAGAGGCAGAACCCTGCACTGCTAGTTTCTGCAGCGGGGCATCTGTGGAGCAGGGGCTCCCTCTAAGGGGGCTGAGGAGGACACTGTCATCAGCTGTCCAGCGTGCATTCTCTCGTTCACCCGCAGGTCACACCCATCCTGCAGCATCCTTATAGCTATCCGTGCGATGTTTTTAGAGTCATCGAGTCCACTGTGAGGTCTTCCATCATAATTCATGCCCAGCATTTCAAGCATGATTGTCAGCTTGGTCTGGTTCCTAGGAACCTGATGGAGAAAGTCAGTAACATTCAAGGATTAGGTTCTGCACCAAGCCTTTTTAATCTAACACAGTACAGGAAAAAAAAAAAAGCAGATTTTAAGGCTACTTAAGTCACATACTACTTTCATGTTGCCTTCTGTTAGATCACTAACAATTTAACTTCAAAGCACTTTAGTCAAACAGACACTTTCATTTGTACAGAGGAGACACTGTCAACAGGAGCTTGTCTAGACTCAGGATGATGTCAAGAGCCTCTCACCATTACCAGCACAAACTCAAGATGTGCCTGTGCTGGCAGGAGTGGAAGTCATGGCCTAGATAGGTTTAACACTCTTTGTGAAAAATGAATTACCAGCCAAAGGGGCATTGCAGAGGTAATCAGATTTTGGTTTTCCTTTTAAATGCAAAGTGATTAAAGAAGCACCAGGCTCCTGATTCTCACTAACATCCAGCTCAGGCCACAGGACCAGATCAGCAACACCCAGAGCAGCCTGTGTTTACATGGATGGCCAACAACAAGGAAACTTAACTGATTTGCCCTTGCAAAGTGCAACACCAGCTAAAGCCCCAAGTCCTCTCTTGATTAACTACTAAATATACAGTTGTTGTTTGGAAAGGTCAAAGAAAAACAAATGGATAACTTTAAGTGAAAACTTCAGCTGGCTCTCTTGGTGGTGGCTGGGGTGGGGGAACAAGGGACATGACAAGTTCCAGGATATTGCACCATACTACTGGATTTAATAGCCAGGCAGAATGGTGACAGCACAGTTGCCAAAATGTGGCAATATGCAACTCCAATAATAACACACACAAACTGGGCAGGGGAGACATGCTGCAGGTTGTGGGATATTCCACAGGTAAGTTCAGCACATTCCTTGTCATTAATTTTATCTATTATACTTAACAGATTTGACAGCAACACAGAATAGCTAAGCAGAAGCACTGAACAACTATAAATGCTGCAACTGTTTACATATATTTTTGTTAAAAAAAAAATCACAAAAAATAAAAGGGAACTGACTCCTAAGTTACGATCTTCATTGCCTCTGATGAAAAAGGAAGGTTTCTCTGGGTCAAAGCTGATAGGACTAACAAGACTGTTCTGTGTCCTAGCATGTTTCAACAGAAACTGTCATACAGAGAAGGCAGCAATAATAGAGGGAGAAATGGAGTAACCCTGTAATATTTGCCCAGCACAAAGTAAAGCTCTTCCCTTACTAAATGTCAACCTGTTTTTTATCTCAAGGCTACATTTAGTACTAAAAAGCCCTCCAAGAGAAGATGGCCAGCTAGGATGAAATCACATTCTAGAGTGTTTAGTGTAGGCTGATTGGAATGCACTAGAATCTCCAATAACTCATTTATGGTAATCTGAATATGAAAGAAAGCAGCAATAAGGTCCAGTACTGAACTTGCTATTACTTCTCTCTTGACAATGTGATTCCAGTGTAGATATGACCTAGTCTTTCTCTGTCCCCGTTACACTGTCAAAACTCAACACATCTGAGGGTAGTGTATTACATGGAAACAAGAAAAAATAACTGAAAAATCAATAGAGAGTTTTTTCAGCTGAACTACTTCAGGACACACTTGATCTATGAGGACCAGTATGACATTTTTAGACAATCCTTCATGGAGAACATCCTGACTCTTAAAAACAAGATTAAAATCAAAACGCAGTAGATTACATGATCTTCAATTAGTAAATTGAGATCTGGACACAAAACACACTTGAAAATCAGGCCCCAGGCAACTGGTTTAAGTACTGTGATTTTCTACTATGCAAGTAGAGATGACAAGCACAACAGGACACTCCATACTTCTAAACCAGGTTTCGCTCCAAGAGAAACAACAATTTGTACAAACCTTATAGAAGTTCCCATACGACTTGCGAATATTGATCCACTTTTTGGCAAAAGAAGGGTATTTGATGCGGCTAACACGGCACTGGATGTTCAAAAATTTACTCATGTCCCAAGATCTTAAAAAGTCAAAAGAGAAAAGCATTAGTAATATATAATCCCGTGTTCTACATACTGCACAACTGGAGCATTAAAAGCTGCCTTGTGTCTGGTGATCAGCAGAAGAAAAATGGTGTAGTAAAAGCTCTTCTGCTGTATTATTGTAAAGAAAATTTTAATATGAATTTGTTAATCGTGGGCATAAAATAATGACATAAGCAAGATTTTCACTAGGATGATTTCAGGTCCAGGATGGTTAAAACAAAAACCAGCATGCCAACCACTCCACCTGTCACATCTACTCCAAAAACCCACAATAAATGAGATGCTTACACAGTCCTTGGGGGAGCAAGAGACACCTCGAATTTTCCTGATTACTTGGGTACATATGCATCTCTCTACTTCATGTAGGTTATTGAAACAAGACTGCACTTAGTTTGATGAGAAACCAGATCTTTATGGAAAGAAGATGAAACTATAATCCTGTGCACCTGTAGTCTGAAGGGAACCACCCCAACAAGTTTGTAAGCTTCAAGCTAAAAGAAAACTTTTTTCCTCATCTCTTGTAGCTGTCTACGCCATCTCACCTATATGACAGAGATTCCACTGCATCTATTTTCCTTAAGGAATTTCACTGAGGCGATTCCTCTGGAGGGAAATTCCTGAGACATTTAGGCCCAGTAACATAACCAGTCTTGCACCACCTCTGCTTCAGCATTTTCTTGTTTTAGTTCACTGTTGCTTCCAAAGATAGCACCATAATCTAACCAGAGGTTAGAAATAGTCAAATAGAAATATTTAACACAGTTCTCTAAATTGATCAAAGTTGGAATGACATTACCTTAGCTCCTTACTTTTAATGTGCACAAGGATCTGTCCTGTACACCTCAGGTCTTGCGTGACAGCTTTTCAAATGGCTTCACTGTTCACACTGGACACAACATATCAGTGATACAGGTTCTTCGCCAGACAAGACCTGTGACTTACAGTAGTCGTCTAAATCTTCAGGAATTTTGAGAAAAAGGTCTCATGGGCAAAAATAATTTCTCACTTGCTAATTTAAGTGGCATTACTTTAAAAAAAACTTGTTACGTATTCATTCATCTACTATGAGACATTATTTTTCAAACTACTCCTAGTATAGACTGGAATATTTATCTGTGTTTTACTTAACAGAAGTGTTAGGAAGTTATCCTAACATTCCCATGCTCTTTTTTCATAGACTCCATTTTTGTTTCAGAGTTCATTTCTCTTTGGTTCAACAGAGTCATTGTATGAGAGCAACACAGAACTGCCTTTTTAATCCAGCACAGCAGAAGACCTTCTGCAAGCAAAAATGAAAATGTATCATTCACCTCAACACAGCTAAGGTTAAAAACTCCCTATCCTACTTCGAGCCCTCGTTTCAAGAGAAGGAAGAAGGCAGATATGTTAACAGAATAGTAATGTTTCACAGCTAGAAGACAAGCATCACCTGCAAAAAACATTCCCTAGCCAGTGGTGTACAAGATAAGGCTCAAACACTGTATTTCACCATATAAGAAAGCTAAGATCACAAGAACAACACTGCATCACAGACATATCTAGGTCTCAAGACCTGTTCACTCTGCAGTCATTAAGGGGCTTGATTTTCCACGCAGACCTTGTCAGACAGTAAGTTCAGGTGGCAGTCTGAGGACTGTCAATCCCTCACACACAAAGTTTGTCAGAGGTGGGACCCACTAGAGCCACAGTCCTCTAAGCCAGAGCAGAGAGGTTTTTGTGCTAACCATTTCTCCTTGTTCCATAAACATCAACATCCATTATTGTCTTCTGGTGAAATATGCAGGATGTATTAACAGTAACACTAACACCCACACAGGATACTACAGCACAGCCACCACACATCCCTGAAGCCTCAGATTCAGAAGGGCATGGAAGCTGATTAGAACTGAAATTACACAGTGTTATTTTCAGCAACAACAAAGCATGAAAAGTCTTTTCAACACCACCTGGCTGCACAAAGAGCTCCGGGAAAGAAACGGCGCCATCTAATGGATTTAGCTTCACTTCAAATTGTTTAGTTGAGCTGTCCTGATTTTCCTCAATGCTTCAATTAAAATAAAATGGCAAAATGTCCTGATCCACCTTTAACAATTCCCTCACAAATATTAAACAAAGTTTCACAGTTTTAGATTGTGCTGAAAGAAGCATAAGGACATACCCATCTGTCAGCATGGAATAACTGTACTTTGTTCCCAGTTCTCGCTGTCTCATCCACTCTATGACATTCTGAAGAACTTGAGGAAAAGGATCAGCTTTATCAACAATATCCTAAAAGAACAAAAAAAACCAAGCAACCCAAAGTGAGGAATATTTTTTCAGAAAAAATACCTGGCATGAAGTGTAAAAATTATATTGGTATATGGGCACTTACAAAGTTAGTTTCACCAAAATCTTTAGAAAACCAGGTTATACATTAAAATGTGTAACAGGACAAATGTGTAACTGGACAGATTCTTCTAAACTGAAAAAAACAGCACCACAAGGGCACCACTAAAAGAGCCAACCTTCTAACAGCTTCTGTAAAGGTAACAAGGTTAGTCAGCACTTGAACTTGAATTAAAACCTTTGAGCTTGTTTCCCAGGCTCCTGCTCAAGTCACTTGATCACAAGCCATTGTGATCCTAAGACTCTAAACTCTTTAGAATAAAAATCTTAGAAGAAGAACTGATGCAATTCCAAGTGTTTTCCTCTGCTAAAGTTTCTACACATGAATTACAAACTGAATGATTTACAAATCACCAACTTAGTGAAATCAATTCTGTGATAACTGGGAGAGGGGACAAAACAAGGATTAAGAGAATAGGCCTTACAGAAAAATAGCCATGAAAGATTACCACATAAGATTACTAGCCTGAAAACATCAACACTAGATCTCTTTTCTTCATATTTTTTCCTGAAGAAACAAAAGTGCACATTACCTGGGTTATTCCTGTCAGATTGATGCAGAAGTTTGAAAGCTTGGGATTAATCTCTGGTTTCACATATTGCTGAAAGGTATCCTCCTGTGATGAGAGAATCAAACACTCAGCTGCAGCACACTATGTATCCCACAAGGCAACTTTGGTTTGCCTACAGCCAAAAGACAATAGCAGCTACTTGTCCTGCTGGAGACAAAAAGGAGTGTGTACCTCCCCAGCCAACAGGAGCCTCCTGACTGGCCATCACCAGATTCACAATGGGATGGATGACCTTCAAACTGGAACGTTTCCTTCCTCTCAGCCAATGGGTACCAAGGAGTGGGAATGTGGATTTAAGAGGAGAGAAGGACTGACTGCAAAAAAGGCAAGGATTTGGCAAAAGGAGTGTGAGTAAGGAAAAAAGTGAGAGGAATGAGCAAAGCCTTACAGGTTTTAGGTGGTATCTCTAAAGGCTGACCTGTAACTCAAGGAAGAAGGCCATCTGCACATCTCAGAGGCTGCATGCAAGTCCTACACCTCTGGATGCCAGACAGGCAGGGATAAACATGATCTCACTCTGGGAAGCTAAGCAGTGCAGGAGTGAAGGCTGCAGGCAAGTTTCATGGAAAACAGAAAGGCCCAAGTCCCTGCTGCTATACCAAACCCTCTGGACAGAGGGAAAAAACCCACAGCATTTCCTACTATTCTAAAGGCAATAAAAACTATCTTGGCAGCACAATCCTCTTTCTGCAGTTTGTCATATGTGCAGCTACACTCTAAAGTAGCACCACAGTAATTACTGGAAATCCTCTTCCTCTTAAGAGTTCTTGATAAATGAACCATTAGTCAGAGGTATGCACACGTCCTCTGCTTCACTGAGTCACTCAGTTTCAGTTAGACAGCAACTAGTTTTTCCTAAAAGAAAGCTGTACTGGAACAGAGCACTTGAGGTTGCCAAATACCTACTAAGTATGTTTAACATCAGGATACAGAGCTGTCAATCTGTCAGATACATTGGGGAAGCAGTCTAGCCTCACAAGAAGTGGAGTTCACTCAACCTCGCTTTCTAACCTCTGCATTAGAGTCTTCTAGACTGCCTCAGACAGGCCACAGAATTTGCCAATTCTTGTTTATGATGAGCCCCTTAAGTTCTAGAAATAGATTTGTGGATCTTAAAGCAGGGAAAGAAGGGGCAAGGGGGCAGCAGAGACAGATATGACTGAGAAACTCTTAGCAATAGAGGGAGTCAACAGCAGGAGAATGATCTATTCCAGATGGTTTCAGAATAGAAAGACAGTATTGTTTGTATGTAAGAGGCACAGAGGAGAGGTCTTTATGAAAAAAAAACACATGCTATTCTTAATAAAGTTCAACATATACCTAACAACTAATCTAGACTTTCTGAAGCAAAGAAGTTATATCAAAGAACAGCACACCAACACAACAATTTGATCACTTACTATTTCCAGGGTATGTGTGTTTAGTAAGACAACAGGAAACTCAATTATTTCATGCACAAATTCAGGTGGGTTTCCTTCTTCACATGTTGCTTCAAAGTCAACAACGCAGATGTAGTCATAGCAGCTGTCTCCATTGATGTGCTCCTTCTGCATCAGCTTCTGTTTCTTGTAATAGTTTTTCAGTCTCTTTTTCAGTACATCTTTCACTCCTCTAAAGAGATAAGGGAAGTGACAAAGATCACACTCCTGCTTAATTATTTCCCCACTGTAGAACTGAAGCTATATTTAGCATTTGAAAGTTCATAATTTATTACCACAATTTTGAACACCAGCACTTATGAAGTCTGAGTTCAACTTTATAATACAGTTAACAATCCATTATCTGGGATAACTCAGAGGCTGTGATATCCCCCAACAACTAAGACATCAAGATAATAGCAGGGACAGCCTGGGAAGCACAGCACAAAGACACTGCAGTCACCTCCAGTTCAGCAAGACTCAGTAGCCAAAGCCTTTGAAAAGCCCAGGTCTTTGTAGATTGCTCCTCGATGACCTCTGGCCCTGGAAGCAGTACTGTTCACCTGTATTTCCCTGTGCCCTCTGCCTGAAGCGACTTGATGCCCGAGGTGTCTCTGCATCAGTGGCACTGATAATGCAGAATCCAGCCAAAACGCCCACATTTTAAATCCCTCTCAATTTACATTCAAAAATGAGCTTGAACAACTCAATTAAAATAAAGTACTCAAGATTTTCAGCTGTCAGAAAAACCTCCTGGCCAAGATCCTGCATTTCAGGAGGTTTGTGGCTATACATAAATTCCCATTGGGAAGTGATTAAAGTTACTTACTGTGGTGCTCTAATACAAACATTGTAACATGCAAATGCAGGTGCCAGAACTGCCACATACCCAATCAGAGCTGAATAAACAAGGATAATTTACTCTTTGAAGGAAGTTATTTTTAAAATTACACATTGCAAACGAAATCACAGATGCTGCAAAATATACTTGTAGCAAGTGGTATTATCAAGCAACCACTGGTCCACAAGGTAAAAGTGGAATCAGGCTACTAAACCTGCATTTCAGAACAGAGAGATAAGTCTTCACTCTGGTTTATTAATCTAATTTAATTCAGTGACCAGTTCATTCAAAGTTTAGACAGTGTGGAAGCTGATAGAGGGGGAAGTTACCTTTTTTCCATTAAACTTATAAAAATGTTGGTAAGAGGAGATGATCTGCTATCAAAATAACCCTGAGGGAAAGGATGATGTGTGGCAAACAATTCTCTATGTGCACTATATGTTTACATGTAAGACATATTCTGACTAACTTCATTGGATATATTGACAAAAGAAGTCTAGCTTAGGTAAAAGAGAAGTTTAAAGCTTTCTGCATTTAGAGCTAGATTTAAAAAAAATAGAAAAGTTATAACCTAAGAGGAAATCACAAACACATAATCTACTATTTGAATTCTGCTTTTTCTTTTTAAATCAGACTAAATGCTGAATAGCTGCACAAATCTAACCTGTTTTACTAAACATTTTCTCAGGTAATGATAAAACTTCTTCTTCATGAGGAGCTAATTTACTGTAACCAAAGGAGGAACTGAAGACAGATGCTGGAGGTAGCAGGTTGCACTTCCTGTCCCCACTCCATTTTTTCCCTTTATTCTGTTCAAATCAAACTCTGCTAATTCCTTTTTATTCCCCTCTCAACAGCCTCTCCTTTACAGTTGCTGCTTCTCTAGACTTCGTCCTTTAGACTCCATCTCACCCTTCACAGTCCCTCTTCCTTCAGAGCAGAAGCTTCTCACTTTGCTAACTTCCCACCACTACCTCCTCATTACTGCTGCCTACAGAAACAATACACTTTGTTTTCCCCAGTTGACTTTCTTCACAGTATCTCAAATTTGTCTGGCCACAGCAATATCAGTGTATTGCAGGTCATTGCCAATACAGGAGGAAACACACTGTATTCCTAGCCCTTTTCTCCTCCTCAGTGAGCACAAATCCAGCTCATTATGCATTCAACTTTTCACATTATTCTAGTGTACCTATTCAGAATAGCAAACTCTCCACCTAAAGGTACCTGTTCTCTGACTGATGAAATCCTGAGCCACATCACCACAGAGGTTCTAGCAAATTATCAGATCTGTACTGGTACAGCAAATAAAAATACACATGGTCTGAGGGGATCTTCTATATGCTGAAGCTCCTCAACACCACCTGAGAACCCCTGTAGTTCTCCTTTGCCCCTCAACCAAATACGTAATGAGAAGTACCCTACAGTTATGTATTCCTTCATTTTTTGGGTTACAAGTTGAGGCAGCACACATTAAACAGTATCCATCAATCCTACAAAAGAAGCAGCATCAAGACAGCACACAAAACAACCAGTGTTTGGTGCTGTGGCTGTTTTCCACTTTGTGGTGTTTCTAAACTTCAGTCATCTCTTATGGCCCTACTGCTCTCAAAGACAGATCATAATGTTTACAAATAACCCAAACCTGGTTTCAAGCTTGAACTCTGCAAGTTTACTTCTGAGCTCTTCTCTGGTCATTCTGTTGATATAACCATTGGTCATAGCAATTTCCTTGTAAACTGGATCACTGAAGTCCTTTGAACTGGCAGTTGAGTTCTTGCCATTAGTTTCTTGCTCACTGTTCCTACAATGCTGCCTGTCCTAGAAGAGAAATTCACAGTCATTTAGGGAAGGTCAAAACAAGAAGCTTGAGAGAAGTTTAAAGCTTTCTGCATTTACAGCTAAATAATAAAAAAAAAACCCAAAACACAAATAGAAGACTTATAACCTAAGAGGAAACCACAAACACATAATCTACTATTTGAATTCTGCTTTTTACTCTTAAATCAGAGTAGCTGCTGAATAACTGCATTAAGCAGTTCTGGCAGATGGTTTTGGCACCAAAATGCAGTAAAGCACCACACTGTTACACCTGTGATCAAACTGAGTGAACTGGCTTACAGATGGCTGAGAAAATCTACAGCGAAGCCTGCTCTTCAGTCAGGCCAAACAGCAGCTCCTGGAGACACAGCTTGAATGCACGTCCTGCACTGAACAGAGAAACGAGTTCTCTGGTGTGTGCTAGCACAGCCTCCACCAGCACCAAGAGACTTCTCTCGACGCCTTCATCACCCAGAATCCACGCTGACCGGGACACAGGGCAGGCGCCCCACGCGTGTGGAATAAGCAACACAATGAGTGAAAAATCCCAGAGGCAGTTCGGCTCTCGGCCGTTCCCCGCGGGCTCCCCGGGCGGGCGCACGGCGGGG